GAACCCCTCTCTCTCAGTGCAGTGTTAATGTACTGTAGTGTCCAGTCAGTGTGTCTGTATGAACCCCTCTCTCTCAGTGCAGTGTTAATGTACTGCAGTGTCCAGTCGGTGTGTCTGTATTAACCCCTCTCTCTCAGTGCAGTGTTAATGTACTGCAGTGTCCAGTCAGTGTGTGTATTAACCCCCCTCTCTCTCTCTGTGTCCAGCGAGCGCTCTTGAGGGAGGTGGGACAGTATGAAAACGGAGGAGACGCGATCCTGCCTGCAGGCGCCCTCAAGCGTGCCCTTCGGTGAGTGGACAGACAGACGGATGGACTGTCCCTCCTGCGCCTCAGGTGTGTGCAGAGGCTGGTGTGTGCTCACGTGCGCTGCTCCGCTGTCCCTCCCCAGGCTCGGAGCGGCGGGAGGTGTGCGCGGGCTGCGAGTCGCCCATCGTGGACCGCTTCCTGCTGCGCGTCAACGAGCACTCCTGGCACGAGTCCTGCGTGAAGTGTGCCGTGTGCCTGCAGGCGCTGTCCGGGAGCTGCTACTGCCGGGACCGGCTGCTCTACTGCAAGCACGACTACGAGAAGTAAGACTGAGCGCACGGGCGGGCGGGTGTCTGTGAGCGTGCGGGGTCTCCCCTCCATCCAGTCTGTCCTCAGTCTGTCCATAGTCTCCCCTCCGTCTGTCCATAGTCTCCCCTCTGTCCAGTCTGTCCTCAGTCTGTCCATAGTCTCCCCTCTGTCCAGTCTCCCCTCAGTCTGTCCATAGTCTCCCCTCCCTCTGTCCATAGTCTCCCCTCCGTCCAGTCTGTCCTCAGTCTCCTCTCAGTGCAGTCTGTCCTCAGTCTCCTCTCAGTATCCCCTCAGTCCTGTCTCTCCTCAGTCTCCTCTCAGTCCAGTTTCCCCTCAGTCTGTCCATAGTCTCCCCTCCGTCTGTCCATAGTCTCCCCTCAGTCCAGTCTGTCCTCAGTCTCCTCTCAGTATCCCCTCAGTCCAGTCTCTCCTCAGTCTCCTCTCAGACCAGTCTGTCCTCAGTCTCCTCTCAGTCC